ACTTAAGCGTGTTACCTCGAATACCGTAGCGCTCCAACTTACTGATCAGCTTGGGATAACAAACTTTACTGAAAGCATCCGAAATCTGATATGGTGGATGATATCTTCACTCGAATTCCAAAGTTAAACATCGAAATGAGTGCACGACCATTACAAGTAAACTCTTGCCATCCATTCCTTTTTTTGGACTCGAGATTACCTCAAATTCCATATTTTCGAGGGTCGGCGGTGTATCACTCGTCCCTTGTTGCCAACATATTTTGGTGAGACGAGAGCGCCGGTGGAGCAGCAAAAGGTTATTGACTTCGCTGGGATCTTCAGTGTTCAAGTTTATTGTGATGTCGCGTATCTAGGGTGATGTCCATTTATACTTGCTGCAGTGGTGTCTCTTGACCGGGTGAGCTACATATTGAGAGCTTCGTATCACTTTCACGCTCTTGACTATGTATAACAACTTGTTCGAAATTCCGACCGATCAGAGCGGTTATAGTGTAAAAAAAAGCCCGGCTAAGGGGTATAAGACAGTGTGTAAACGTTCAGGTATTAGGTTGACAGAACTTGGAAAATGGCATTAGAGACGGTTTTTGCAGGCACATCAAACTGACATATGTATGTATGTATGTATGTATGTATGTATGTATGTACATATGTATGTATGTATGTATGTATGTATGTATGTATGTATGTATGTATGTATGTATGTATGTATGTATGTATGTATGTATGTATGTATGCATGTATGTATGTATGTATGTATGTATGTATGTATGTATGTATGTATGTATGTATGTATGTATGTATGTATGTATGTATGTATGTATGTGTATGTATGTATGTATGTATGTATGTATGTGTATGTATGTATGTATGTATGTATGTGTATGTATGTATGTATATGGGGAGAAACGTTGCGTTATGGGTTAATGTGGCCTCATGCGGTTACGGAGCAGGATTACTCATTCTAGCCAATGATAATGTTACAACTAATAGTGTTGGACGAAGTTCTATAATGACCTATTCCTGTTGGAACTTATGACGCATTAATTCCAGATGCTAAGTGGACACTCGGATGTTGAATGTGTTGTGGAATTCGACTTTGCAACAATACAGCTTTGGAAGGAGTTCGGCTGAGGCACTTTTCAAACCAACAGCGTGAAGAAACTATGAGAAGCCTTACACGCCATGAATGATCACCATAGGCCGTAACCATGCTCTTTTCTTCTATAATTGCGAAAATCGGGTTTTAAGAAAGAGATATACAATCTTGTGGTTCCGTAGTCATAAAAAGTAGAAAACTTTACGAGGGGCGGAAATCATCAATCTTCATCAATCAATCATATCAATCATTAATCATAGAGTAATCCATATGATTTTGAAACGTAGTGATTCAGAAAGAATAACGACCAAAGGATTCAGAATGTGATTATCCGGCCCTCTACAAGGATCACTTGCTACAGTCCAGAACAAGTGTATTTCGATAGCGAAGCTCAATCAGAGATTAGGTGAAGCAATCTGAAGTTGCGAAATTGTGAACTTGACCCGCCGAGAGAGAAATCTGTTGCCCAGGGCAACCTACTAGCGTCCTGCCCACCGGAAGCGAATCAAAAAGAAGCAAAAGGTTGGTGCCCCTTTCCAAGCTTACTTATCTTTTGAGCGACTGTTTCAAGATTGTGGAAATAGTGCAAACTTAAAAGTAGTGCATAATAGATATTTCCCGTTTGATTTTCCCAAGTTTTGTGATATTCCATCGATGAGCACGCTGCACGTGCTATTAATTGCGCTGCGATGTCTATAAGCCCCCCTTGTAACAATCGCCCTTGAAAAATGTTGTCATGCCCACAATGAGTTATGCACAACTATTTTCAAACCGTGAAGGTTAATCGGTAACTGTAGTCGGATGGGTAGGAACAATGAGCAGGGAGCGAAATTTGCAGTTAATTCAGAACTTCCGTCAGGTGAAACCTAGAGTTGCGAGACGTATGATCAAATCAACTGAAAATAAAGCCTACCAGGGTTGCGATTGTGGACAAAGCTTCGGTCTCGGAGGGGACCCGAACTCGTTTTTCCTCTCTCCGGGCACCTTGTATGTACTTCATCTTTTACCCTACTAAAACCCCGCTTGCCCTGCCTTCACAGGCGAGGGCACGCGGGGTTTCGGTAGCGTAAGGGATAAGAGAGAGCTGGAGCGCACAAGCACGAGTTGGAGTCTCGTCCGAAACTAAAGTTTGTCCACAGATCGTCAACTTTGGGATGCGTTCGGAGTGCGTACTGCGGTGAAATATCAGCAGGTAACGAGACTTAAGTCAAGACAAATCATAGAGAAATTAAAAAGTAAAAGCGCGGATCAGTAAAGTGGAAGAGAAAAGGCCCGGTAGCAACCAACAATTAATCCGCAATGTATGAAGAAAACTCGTCTGGCAGCCGTAAACGTAGAGTGATAGTACGATATAGAAGTTATCATATTCAAGTCAGGCATATGGTAAATGTCTCGATGTTCATTCTCTTCCTTTGCCAAGAGTGAGTTGGTTTTTAGACTTTTTTCCACTTCCGGATATCTACAACCCCGCTGACAGGCCTTTTGTCCGTGGTGTTTTATTTTGCATAAAGCCAGATTGGAGAGCAACTGGAATATTGCATTTCAGATAATGCCCACAACCCTCCAAGTCGAACGCCTTGTAATGAATCAAAAGTGATTTCTAAACCAAGAAAACGAGAATTTCCCGTGAAATCAGTGAAATGGTTGAAGGACGGATGGGAAGAGAGCACCACTCTTAAACTGTATGGAGCGCTGAGGGAGAGCGTAGTCTACCTCACTTGTGCCGGATCGGGTGAGACAAGACGGACTTTAAAGTCCCGTAAATGTGTTATACAGTAACCCACAAACACACTCACTCTTGGATGGTGGGTCATGGGGAGTTGTTGTATATTACGTTCACGAGACTATAAAATCTGACTTGTGGGGGTGAGATGATTACCTCATATTCAATTGACTCATCCACCTCGGTGCTTCTTCTTCTAGGTAAAATACTATATTTTCTCGGCTCAGTAACATTCCCAAGCACCATTATGGGCTCGCGAAGTCGGCAACCATCCCTTCTTTGTGCTTTAGAGCTCAATGTCGTGGGAGAGGAATGGATATTCCTCAAACTAACCTTCCTCCAAATCTCTTCGCGAAGAATTCACCGTTGTGCGCAGAATAATTTCCTCATACTAGTTCCTGCTCCCATCAATATTTCTGAATTAGATAGTAATGCGCTGTTATAAAGATGCGTCTGTAAGCGTATTTCGAACGCCTTTTCGACGCCTGACGAGTATTTCTTTTGACTGGGCACTCGTAATGATAGTGGCTGCTGTGGTTAACACCACGTTTTGAGCAAAAGCCTATTGCAGCTATAGTGTGCATTCAGATACGTCATACATGGTATCTTCAAGGTACAATTTGCGAAGGCAACATGAGGGTATTGCAGAGAGCAGGTAACAGATGTTTGTAGTAAGTAATTTTTTTGGGATAACGTGCTAAAGTTACAACAAGAGGTGTACTAGGTAACACACGGCAGTGACTTTGATAGCATAACAAGCATCAGACCTTCACTGCGGTACAATGTGTGTGCTTTGTTCAAGTCTTGCTTTAGTTCATCTGGACACAATTCTGCGTCCACGCGCCCTAAGAAGTCTGAAAGCGCTAGTGCGCTTTTGAAAGGGGCTCAAACGGTGAGTTTTATAAAAACGCCGTTTTGAATTGATCTTACTACTATTCATACTTCACTAGGTGTGCCTGTTGGTTTGTCTGTGTGCCTGTGTGTCTGTGCGTGTGTGCATGTGTATGTTTGACCAGAAATTCATATCTCGTGTCCTCCTAAACTTATTGCGTCCACTTGTGGAAGGAATACAGGCAGCAGGTCAATTCAAACACAAACAGGAGAAGAGCTCAACTTTAAAAGTGCGATCCGACCAGTAGAAGGGTATTCTCATGCTGGTAGGATAGCATGAACTCTAAATATAGGAAGCTTCAGTTTTCAATAATGGCAAGAAGGAGCCTTTAAGCTCTCATCAGAATACAGAATGTTATGATTCAGTTCTGCTCAAGAACGCTGAAAAAATGGCTGCTGATAAGAACGAAGTGATAATGTATTTGACGGTGACCGAATCCGTGAACGCATGCGTTTTCGAAATCATGTTCTGGGTTGAGTCCCAAGGGGTATGTTAATACAGTGCCTTTTTCTTACCGTTCCATGGTACCGAGCTGGTAATAGCGAGGATATGGAAGGATTCGTTGTACTGGGCAGGGGTGGAATACAGACGCGTAATGTGTTACCGATATGCTACTGTGAAGTGTGGGGTTGCGTGTAGCACCAGATGACTGCCATCTATCGGCTCATGGCTCATCTCCACCCGTTTGCTCATGGTTAGTCTCCTTCCTTGAGCATCTCTTTTACATTTCTAGGCTCCTTCACATAAATTTGAAAATAGTGGCTAAAAAGCTGCACAGCGCTTGTACAGTCCATGTATCTCACAAGAATGGCTATAAAATTCAGTCTTGGACGGAACTCGAACCCGCACTGTGCTTTCCGGGCAAAAAACAGCAGTTAACCAAATATCACGTCCAGGTAGAGTTCGAGGATCGAATTATTGCTGCATTGCTTGCGATGGTGTAGGACTTGAGCAGGGTTACTTCGAAAGCGAAAGAAGCTAAGATACATATCGTACTCTTGTACTAGTCAACTATGTACCCTTGCGAAAGGGGGAGACGTTTAGGTCTCTTTTTTATATTTTGCTCGAAGTGGATGTTTCCAGTTCATCGAGGATAGGGCTGAGAAAATTAACTGTTGTCAAAGTATTTACCGAGCGGAAGAGACAAGCAGCAGCAGAGGGTTTTCATGACTTTTAAATGAACAGCAACTAATTATTTTAGTTGGTTTCGATGGTACAAGCGAAGTTCGAATGAGGGAGATTCCAATTTTGGATTGAAATCGCGTTTAACCATAAAGGTCTCGAGCTGAATGGAATTCAGCCCTAAAAACATGATTCAGGACAACTGCAGATCAACGAGGGCTTCGAACTCGAAAGCTCTGAGGAAACTCGTCACTGTTTCACAACCTTGTTTTACTTTCACAATTCCTAAAGTAAGTCACTAAATGTTGACCGCGTAATTTGTACATATGACCCATGAAAAAGGAATACCACGTTCATTTCGAATATGCGGGCATTTTAGGCGTGCTTTTCGAGATTTGTTCGACACATCGGCAATAAGCATGTACCGTCGTCCAGAACATTCAAATGGAGTGGAGCAGCTGTAGAAGCAGTCCAAAAGGTGGTTCTATTCTGCCGCAAAGTGGGATAGGTTGGAACCAGTGTTTATGACACCGTAACATCCAATCAAGGGAACAACAAATGAGTACACGCTGAACAACAGGATGAGCAAGAGCTTTTTCAACACAGGGAATTACCAATCGTTAACGGGAATAATGTTCCACGATTGGTCACTGAGCGAATTGCTTTGTCAAGGAGACAGTAATGCTGTAAGTATGTAATTACAGGTATCGGAACATCAGATGAAGAGGATGTTCTGGAAAACCAAAATTATTGCCTTGCTGAATGGAAGGAGAAATGTGCTTCCCCGTGATCTCTATGTTGTATCATTATGCTCAACTACACCGCACTTATATTGACTAACGTTCACCATCGTTCTGCACTGGTTTTGGAAATACCAAGATTCGCAATCAATCAATGTTTTTGCTGCAGTAATTATAATTTGTGGTTACGGATTAAAATAAATTTGTCTAATACGTTACTCCCTGCACCAGCTTCTTCCTATTGCGAAGCTTCCGCCGGAATAAAGAATGTTTTACACCATACACCCCGTAGAAAAAACGAGTTTTGTTTGGCAGCAAATGGAATCGTTTCGTCGCCAAGACTTTTCTAGAATCATCACTGAAATTTCATCCTCATGGGCATCCAACGGGGTATGAGTTCAGGTTTACGACAGACAGAATAATACAACGCAAAGTTTGCACGTATTCGCAACAAAAATGCTTCATTGGAAAGGGGACAGGACCTATTGAGGCAGTAGGGCTAAGTTCTTGTAGTAATGCAAACTTTGGGCAGCACCCCATTTCTTAAGTTGGGAGCAACCTGTCATTAATGGCTCATATAAAGGAAGATCTCAAAGAGAAATGAGCACCAGTAATGGCAAAAGCCGAGAAACTGCGCGGATTGCAACACCAAGAAACTTCGCTCTTAGCCGCTCTGACGGATTCATGCCCTTTTGAGGACAGCCACGGCTGTCTGCCTATCCATACCTTGGGCAGGAAAGAAATATCTATCATCCAGTTCCCCCTTCCAGAATTCGAAGTGCCATCGAAGAGCAACTGTGCATCGCCCGGATCCAATAGGAATACTAGCAGGACTGAGTGTTACTGTATTGCCCTCAAAACCGTCGTGAAGCCTTGGGTTGGGCAACTAGGGTGTCACTACTCAATATATGAGGTGTTCCGTGAGCTCTACAACAACTTCACAACCAGGATTTCTTCACTTCACAAAGAAGTCATTGTTAAAGTTATTATTTCTGCCAAGCCTTTCCACTGCGGTCTCAAGAACTCATTTGGAATGAAAAGGTAACAGAGTGAAGGTTGACGGCAGTTATTGAATTCGGCTCCGCTTTGCAAGCGACATCCTACCGATAACACTGAACATTGAAGGGGTGAACAAATGTTTGAATTTGACAGCGCTTGCGTAGATAGATCAAGAAGAAAAAGTATTGAACGACACAGCTCCTCAGCCCACTGAAAGCAGAGCGAAAGCTTTCTGCTTTAATACGCCTCAGAGACCAGTACTCTATGAGAGCAGAATGAGCATGCAGCTCTGTAATCTGGTGAAGATACTACTTCGATTAGATTCTACAACATAATCCTTTAGGTGTGAAGAGATCTCTTCTGGAAAGTTACGGAAGGCACGAAACCTCCTTCTCAACTGAGTAACGTTTCCGAAAATGTCAAGTTGTGTAAGTGAAGTACTACCCTCATGGGATGGCACTAGAGATCTACGGATTTATCAAGTTTTCCTTTACTGCAATCATCAAAACATACTTCAAAGCAAGAAACAATTTTATTTGAAAGTACATTACTTGTCTGATTTTCGATTTTTCAACAATATTAATTCATGCACGTTTTTCCCGCTTCTTCGGTTTCCCACCTTTTCCGCTAGTTTCCATTTTCAGCGACTTGACACCTCTGAAAAAATTATATAACCTACTATATATAATTTGCCAAGTGTGTCTGTTGGTTTGTTGATGTATTTCTGTTTCTGTATATGTGTAAGTGTATGTGTATGTTGTATGTGTGCAAATGTGTGTGTGTGCTCCTGTTTACGAGGACCTAGAGCATTTCAAGTAGGTAGGAGCACAGGCGACAGGGTCTGGACTCTTATAGTGTATGATGCTTACAGGCTGGGTTGTATGACGCTCACAGGCTGGGTTTGCGCGAAATAAATTTTGGAATGGACATTCATAACTTTTGTTCCTGTGGACCGAAAGAGTCCAAATTTGGTAGGACAGCAGCCTTTCGTGTCAACAGTGGAACCGCGGCATTTTAATGAGTGATGTAGGATATGACGGGAACGTAGGTACACGGTGACAGGAACTGATAATAACTGATAAGAGAAGATAATGGACCTGAGAGAGGCCACCTACCGATCAAAAAGCTTCGGTATTTACGATGCAACTTCGACTGTTCAGCATGTTTCATTCGATAATACGGGGCAGTAGAGTAGGGTGACAAAAGTGAGTGGTGAGTTCAGCGATAGGGACCCTTTGGCGACACTTCGATAAGCAGGTGAGATTTTTGTTCCTTTCTTGCTATCAGACTATGACCGCTACACAGCAAGGTTTGTGACTCGATGAAGGATTCTCTTTTTTCGATATCATCGGCGACTAAACTTAACCGACCACCAGTAATCTGGAATTCTCAACTAATGATATCTCCGCAAAGAAGAGGGTCCATTGATAACGACAGCTGATAATGGCGTTACCATCACTCATTACGTTGTTGGGTAGCAGTCGTAATCTACTGATAAGAAATGAACGAAAGTCTCTCTGCTTACCGTAAAGCGGCTAATGGGTCCCTACACTGCCCTTACCACTCACCTTTGTCACCCTACTCTGCCATCTCGTCTTACTGAATGATACACATCAAAGAGTCAATATTTAATCGAGAATACTAAAGCCGTTAAGATTCAAATGATAAGTGACTCTCGCTCTCCAAGGCCCGTTCAAATCTTATCAGTTGTTATCAGTTCCTGTCACGGAGTACGGCTATTTCACATCCCACATGACCTATTAAAGGACCAAGCTTCCACTGTAAACACGACGGGGATTACACACCTAGCCTCTAGCCTTCTAGGCTCTTGCCGGTCAGCCCTTGCCCGCTTGTCATTAATCCTCGTCACCAATCACCTTCGGTCCCTTCACATCCCTCACTGCCTACTAAAGTGCTCCGTGAGAGACGCTGTAGACGTAATGGCTCTCGCCTTCTATGGCTCGTTATAAACCTCTAGCACTTGTTATCAATCTTTATGGCTGAACACCTACGGTCCCTTCTTAATCTACATCCCTTACCAAAGGGACAAGGCTTCACCGTTAACACGAAGGAAGTAATTGATCCTGCGGCTCTTGCCTTTTGAGGCGCTTTATCAGCTACTTTCAATTGTTATCACTTCTATCACCCATCGTCAGTGTTGCCGTCCTGTCGCTGGCGCTCCTACTAAATTTCAACGCTCTAGGTCCACGAAAACAGGAGTTATGAATTTGCGGTCAAACACACACACTGGCACACATATGCACAACAACAAACCAACAGACACACTTAGCGAATTATACATAGTAGGGTTTTCTATAAATGACAACTTTCAGGAGAGCCTGTCGGAGGCTGAGCTTCGCTTGGTTAGGTATGTCCAGCACACTGTGCCCAGGACTTTGTTTAATTCTAGAAATTTTTCTGGCTTCCGCGATTCAGTGAAATTTACATGAAATTTTCTATGAGCATTTTGAAGACTTTACCCTCAAAGCTGGTAGGTCTCCTGATTTGTTGAACCGTTTCTTATCTTTGCCTTTTTTTTATTCTGATGTATGGATTTTTCTCAAAAAGCCTAGGAAGTTTCCTCTGTGGCAATCCGGTCCCCGTAAGGAGGCTTTGTTGAGCTCACATGTGCTCCAGTGGTCATCCTTTCTGCCCCTTCAGTTGCCTTCAAGAGCACACGTAACTTCTTTCACTCTCAAAACCAGAGACCTCTGCCCGGTCATTTTATGCTCCTATTTCTTGGATTAAAAACGATGATTAGTTGCCCATTTCACTGAATTATCCTCAATTTTTCAGAGCTACGTGACATACCAGCTGGATTCAGTTCCATTTTCAGCGCGACTCAATTTGAAATAACAACACATTGTTCGTTCACTCAAGGGTGGGTGGCGCAAGTTCTACCGAAAACTATTCTACACCTTTTCTTATTGTCTCGACCCGCGACAGGGCCACGAAGTCCTGGGCCTATCGCGGTCTGGAGGTCAATATTCTCTTTCAGAGATTCAATGCATGTTAACGCTGCCTTCTGCTTTTCTAGCTCTAATCTCATGCCCAGTTTCAGGAAGCACATGAAAAATTGATGTGCACCACACCAGCTTCTCTCGTACCACAGCAAAATGGAAAAATATCTTTGTGAAGCGAAGCTCAGAGAGGAACTGTCTGTTTTCCTTGAAACCAAACTCGTCTCACGCCCAAAACTTCCCAATAAATTGTAACGAGACGCTGCGCAACTTGTCAAGCATCATGGAGAAGAGATGAAGTCTTCTTTACACAGGAATGGTGTTAGACAAGAACCTCCAAAATTTTCTATCGCTAAACTGCAGCGGGCACTCTCTAACTAATGCTGGATAGTGCTTCTTACTGACCCCCCCCCCCCCACTCCTTTCCCACCAATTCGTTGACTGATCTGACAGACTCTGTGGAAAGCTGGGAAGAATTATAAGGAGCTGAACGAGAAAAAATTTAGCGTCACGAAAATCTTATGCAGTGTGAGACGAAGCTTCATGGTAATGCAAAAACTAATCGTTCTTTCCATATATCCGATCTACGTTTCATCGCAACCCCATAATGAATTTCTAATGATATTTCTTGTTGACCCATTGCTTCCCAGCGTTACTTTACTACTTCTCTTACCGTATTACTCAGTATTTCCCGTTGACATTTTGGCCTACAGGAGAAAACTCATACTACAAAACTTCATGATAATCAAGGAAAGGTTCAAGCTTAACTTTTAAACGACTTGGGCACACTTCTTTTGTTATTTATCACA